CCCCTCCCGCCCCCGGCATTTGCTCTCGCTCGCGCTCCAGTTCTCCCTCTCCTGCCGCTCGTCCTTTCTGGGTGACCTCCTGGTTTTCTCTCCCCTCCCCATCAACTCCCGCACTCGTCCGTCTTTGCCTGCCCCCACTTGTCTTCCAGGACCCCTCAGCTCTCACTCTCCATCTCCCCTTAGGCGGCAACCCCGGCGCCTACTAAATGCACCCCTCAAACAGCCCCACCGCCCTCGCCCCCGCGCACCGGTTCGCGGAACCTGGGGCAGGCGCCTGAATGGCCTTGGGAGTGGTCAGCGCTGGAAAGTATTGCGCGACCGACCCCTCGCCGCCACTCCTTCCTGATTCCCAACTAGAAGTCTAAACCTAAGGTTCTTCACTTTGGGGAAGGGCGTGGGATTCCTTCGAGAAAAACGAATGCACGCACTCGATGCAGCGTTCTGGCAAACTCTCAGGGCGTTCGCAGCTCCCACCTTCTTCCCAGATCCGATCCGCGTGGATCGAGATACGGAGCGAGCGCCCGTGGGTAGCGGCGCCCCTCTTCCCTTCCTCCACCGCCCGCCTGGTGGCCTCTGCACCCCGGTCACACGACGCTCCTTTCCGGATTGGTGTCTCCTCTACCTGCGGGTTACCTCCCGAAGCGACCCTTGTCTTGTAGGGAAATTCTGATCCATTTTCGTATTTTTTTCGTTGTGCCAACTGGCTTTCCCTAAGCGCGCTGCCATCGGCTTTTTAAGTTTTCGTGTTTGTTTGTTTGTCTGTCTGTCTGTTGTCTTTACAGCCCTTTTCGCACAGCTGGACCGGAACTCTGACTGATTCACTCCGCTTCTGCAGCCCTGCTTCCACCACCCTTGACTTACGGGTCCTACGTTCCCGTTTGGGACGCGCTCCAAGCGCCACTATGAAACGGCTGACCTGAATCCACGAGCCACTTGAAAACTCGATCTTTGTGTCTGTGGTTTCCCAAGAAACACGCACGTTCTCACATCCAGAGTCAATGTCTGATTTATCTGTGCATCTACCTCTTTTCTATGACTCAGTTTCCTCACCTGGACAACCTGAGTACAAGTTTGGGGGGTGGGTTTCCTGGGGCTTAAAGGAATTGATGTACTTGAAATACTTAGCCCCATGGGCGTCTGGTGAACTCACAGTAAAGATATCGTTGTTGTTGTTGATAAGTATTTAAAAAGTTGGCTTCCCCGGCTGGGCGTGGCTCAGCGGTTGAGCTTCGACCTAGGATCCAGGCGATTGGGGTTCGATTCCTGGTCAGGGCACATGCCCGGGTTGCGGGCTCGATCAGTGACTCTCTCGTCATTGATGTTTCTATCTCTCTCTCTCCCTCCCCTTTCCTTTCTCTGAAATCAATAAAGATATATTTTTTTAAAAAAAGTTGGCTCCCAGCAAATGTTTGTTGGATTAAGGTATATTCACAAAGGTCTAAATTCTAGCCCCAGCCCTGTACTTGCTAAGCTGATCTGGCTGGTCAGGTTGCTCTGAGCCTCAGTTCCCTTCTCTGTGAAATTCAGTTAGACCGGCTTCCCTGGGCAGTCAAAGAAAAGGAGCTTCCCCACCACCACCCATCACGTCAGGGTTGTACTTTCCTATCAGCCAGTTTCCTTCCTCCTGACACTCAGCCCCCTGAGGTACAGATTGTCCAGAACTGCTGGGTCTTTGTGCCACAGCTACACTGACAGCCCTCTCTGTCCTCATGTTTTTACCCACGTTCACTCAGCCTGTAAATGTTGGCTGTTTGGGTTTGCATCCCAGTTCACAGCCAAGTCTGGAACAGAGTCAGGGGCTCATGTCACAGAGCCGGTTAAGTCAGACTTGACCCCTAGGCATTCTTTGCCTCCCCCTCCCTGCAGTCTTCTAGCCTTCTAGTAGCTGTTCCCAAAGCTACTGCTCTTAAGGAGCTAACACTTGCTCAGAGATCTGACTCTGAGTGGGGGACAGAGTTCCCCCCTCCCGTTTATTTATAGGCACTAGATTGTCTTTCTGGCTTCTGCTGTTTCCCTGAAAAGCAACAGGGAAGGAGATCCAGCCCCCAGATGGTAGACATCCCACTTTCACCCCAGGCTCCTTTTAACCCCACCCCACCCTGATCCGAAGGCAACTGAGTTCCCAGAAGCAAAGACCTTCCATCTGCCTATGGCTCATCAGCATAAAAATGAACAGTAATGCAGTTGTCTTGGAAACTCAGCCATTCTGATTTCCTGCCCTGCCGAGGCTTAGGCTTCTGACTCAGGGCATTCACTATCTTCCTTCTAGATGACCTTCTGCTGGCGTTCCTCTGATTCCAGCCCTTTCCATTTCCTGCATTCCAGATGTTTTCCTACTGAGCAGTGCCCATGGCCTGATGTTGACTTAACTGCCCAGCATTATCTCATCTCAAACTGAACAATGCTGCCCACCATGTCTCCTACACAAACGGAGATCTGCCCAGGACTTGGGCTATTTCTGCTCCTCTCCCTTATTGCCTCACGGGGCAGTCAGATTTTGCCACAAGTGTCCTTCTCCCATCTCTGCTACTCTTATTCTCACACCTCATTGGTAGTTGGCAATCCATTTTGTACAGGGAGCAGCCTCATTAGTCCCCATGTTTATCATAACCCACATTTATTTATTGAGCATCTACTATATTCCAAGTGCTTTACCCAAATATCTTTAATTGTCATGAGCATGCAGCTAAGTAGTTATTATTATTCCCATTGTACAGATGAGGAATTCTGCCAAGGATCAAAGAAGTTAAATGACCTGGCCAAGATTACACAGCTGTTTAGAGACAGAGAAGGAAACCAAGTGCAGGTCTGTCAGGCTCCAAAGCCTGTGTTCTGCCTGCTTGTCCATCCGGCCTTACCATGGTATCAGTGATGGCCCTGGGAGTCTGGCTCCTCTAGATCCTGAAGGTGGAGGGGACAGCATTCTTAAGCTGATCCCTACCTAGATCAAAGTCCTCTTGAATTGCTGGGATGTCACAGCTGCATCTGTGGTCCCTTCCAAACCTCAATTACCTTTGTGTGGAGATTGCACTATGAGACTATCTAAGCTGAGCCACCCATAGAAATTGGCTAGTGCAAATCCTCATTTCACTAGTAGGGAAACAACCCCAGAACAGAGAGGCAAGTAGCCCAAAGTCACACAGCAAGTTAGAAGCAGAGCAGAGACCAGAACGCCGTTCTCCTGATTCCTGGTTTCCTAGCTGCTCACTCTTCTCTACTCCTCACGCCAACCTCCAAGCTGCACTAGGAAGATGGCAAGCTGGCGACCTTGCACACCAACACATTTCTCTTTTCCATTCTTCTTTCTACCCTGCTGTCCCAGGTTCCTGGGAAACTAGACAGAGTCCAGAGCTGGGGCCAAATCCTTTTCTTTCATTCACCCGTGTTCATTCAGCAAACATTCACTGAGGATCTACCTAGGGTCTGAGCACTAAGCTGGGCATGAATTCTACCACAAATCCAAATAACGCTAGCACCCACATCCATTTTCAGTCTGAAAGGTAAATCTAGCTGAGGATACTGCATGCGGGGGGGATGGGGGGGCATTGTGCCTGCGTGCGCCTTTGGAGCTTGAATGTGGGTCATCTTTCCACTTCCTCATGACAAAGAGGAGCTCCCCACAGGACCTGTACAGTGATACATCCCCCACTACTTCTGCAGGTGTTTATCAAGCATGAACTTCTGTGAGGTGAGTGTGTGCCCTGTCTGTTAATATTTGCTCATTTTTTGTATCAGAATGAAGCCCCCAGTCACCTATTAACTGAATCCACTCCACTTCTTACCCAGATCTCCACCCAGCCCAGTCCAAAGACCTCCAAAGAATTCCCTTGGCTCTCCATACAGAGACCTCCAAGATCTCCCTCTTATCTTCCCCTTCCCAATTCAGAGAAAATCAAGCCTCCAAACCCTTCTCAATGATCCCCACTTAAGTGGG